CTGGCTAAGTTGGTTGCACTCTGTAAGTTCAGGTGCCCTGGCCTATGCCTTATGTAAGTTGGGTATGAGGGGTCAACTCACTGAGATATTATGAACTATTGTTTGTTTAAACTGGTTTGGGAGTGGTGAGAGTACTTACCTTTGTGGTTTGGCCTGCATGTGGCTGAGGGAGATTGCTACTTGGTCTGGGATTCAGGTTGACATGTAGTTGGTTTAGAGGCTCGCCACGTGCTAGAGCGATAGGAGTTAGGTCAATTCCTGCATTTTTTTAGCTAAMTTTTTTTTTACTTAGATCAATTCTTGCATTTTCTGGGATCTTTTGTTATACTTGGCTTTGTACAAATCTTGGCAAGCTACTTTCTCTACGGGAAGCGCTGCCGAAATTTCTACGAATCCAAGGAGTTAGTCAACTTTTGACTTGTCAAAGTTCAACTTATCTATTCTTTATATCTGACTTAGTAAAAATTTGGAAAGTCTCATTTTCTAAAGGGAGTGCTGCCCAAATTTTTGYTAATTCAKGGAGTTAGACAAAATTGGACTTTGAGAAGTCAGGKTTATTTTCAKATTCTGAACTTAGCCTTGTATAAATTTTGGAATARCACTTTTCTAAAGGGAGTGTTGCCGAAATTTCTGCAAAACTAAGGAGTTASTCAAAATTTGTCTAAGTCGAACKCAAGTTGCCTTRTGGGTTCATATCTGACCTARTATAAATCTGGGAAGTCTYCCTTTCTAAAGGGAGTGCTGTCCAAATTTCTACTGATTCAGGRAGTTAGACAAAATTTAGCTTTCAAGAGTTGGAGATTATTTTTGTTTTCATAWTTGGGSTGATACAAACTTTGGAAAGRCACTYTTYCTACGGGAAGCGCTGCCGAAATTTTCTTGATTCAGAGGAGTTAKATTWTATTTTGACAGGTGGCGATTCTRGCAATCCMCCCYGAATAGGAGAGATCCAGCCAGGGTCTRCATTTGCTTTGGGCACCGCCTCGAGGTAGATTTAGGCTTAGCTAGCTAGGAGGATTTGAGTGAGAATATGTTATGGAGTTGTATTCTCCATACGCTCATGATCTCAGCTTGGGGATTGGTCTGTCATGTGTTACAGGTCGTCTTGATCGTTCGATTCAAGATCAAGACTAGATTCAGCTTGATCTTTGGAGGATCGTCTTCTGTTGTCACTTATAACACGTCGGTTGCCGATTCGTCGGTCTTCGACTCAATTTCAATCCATTCCCCATACTCAACCTAAAAGGCTTTACCCCTGGTGGTTTCTACTGTTTGTTAAGGGTTTCACCCGGACTTTTATTGAATGGCCATTTAACAAAGGTACTGAGTATTTAATTGAGGCTGGTTGGACTGACAGTTGGGGCTTGCATGGATAAAGCGAAGGGGTATGAGCATAGAGAATGGTTGGGGTTGACTCCATGTAGTGCGTGTTTTGTTGCTTGGTTCTTGGTGTGGTTGCAGGTATGTCCTGTGGCTCAGATTTTGGATTTGGACTGCCTGCGATTCCACATACACATACATGGTTGTGAGGAGTCTCGCTGTGCCTGTGAGAAGTGATCGTCATGACTCTATCCCCTTTTGCATGTATGCGTGGGTATACGTACGATGGGTATTCGAGGGGCCCAAAGGGCCGTGTTAATAACCGCGTGGAAGTTGGGGCTGAGGGATAGGTAAGACCCTCCCTTCTGCCTAATTGCGTCTTGGGGCTTTCTTCGTCGGACGTTGGTCCTGGGCCGGGATTCAAGGTCCTTATCTAAGACATCCCAAGCCCTAGGCCCTGAAGGGGAGGGGTCTCCTCTCGCATAGAGCCTATTTACTTTGGCCGGCAGGACACTCCGCCTGAAGGGCGGAAATGTCGCGAGGGCAGAACGGCGTGTCCTTCAGCCGTTCAATATCGTGAGGGGTAACCCCTCGTGATGAGTTTCTTCAGCCATTCAATATCGCGAGGCCGAAACCGCGGTTACCACATATGATTGGCATCAGTGGTTGGCATAGGGTTGGCCTGCGGCCGCGCAATTTTATATCAGAGCCCTGCATGCGCCGCCTCGCCGCCCCGGCGTCTAAAAGTTATGGGACCGCCAGGCTTGTGCGTAGGTGCAGCGCTTAGGATTATTGTAGGCCGCCGGCACCGCCCATAGAGGGGAAGTGTATCCCAAGGCCATGGGTTTTTGTTTTAAAGGCCAGGAGACCTTTGCCATGTCCCCTCTTCTTGGGTTCGAGTTTTGTTGCTTCTTAGAGATTTTTATGGTTGGACGTTGTAATCCGTGGCAGCCGTCAAAGTCAAACCCCTTGACTTTCGCCCAGGCCCCGAGGAGGACTCACCCCTAGGGCCTCGAGAGATGACTACCACCACAAGCATGGGCCTGTGTAACACACACTCTGCATAAGGGTGCAAAAAAGGGTGTGTGGTCCTCAACCGCGCATGGCGGTTGTCCAGCGTCGAGAGATTAACCCTCAAGGCGCGTGTCAGCCGACACTTGGGTGTCAAATGCGACCCTTGAGATTAACGAGGACCGCGCGAGTATGGGTACTACACAGTACGCCATCATTGCGACTGCTTGCGTACGCTCCCATTGCGAGTCGACATGAGTTAGCCCTGCCTCCGCGCGATTTTTATATCAAGTCTCGCGCGCGACGCCCATTTGATTTCCGTATCGAAAAGTTATGGGATGGCTACTGAGGGGCTAGGAGCGTTGTCGCGTTGTTTGCGTCGCATTGTTCGTGTGGTGTCGTTTCGTGCGTATGGGTGTGTGTGTTTTATTTTGGTGTTCGTAGAGTGGTGTGCGCGTGGTGCGTGGGATGCGTCCTAGTCGACCGGCGCCGAGCCGCGCTTAGGACTTCAGCCCCCTAAGATGTCGGTTCGCGTGCGGGTCCGATAGGCGTATTACCATGCGTACCCCCTATGCTGCAGCGAACGAGAAACGCCCTCGACTGGTCCACCTCTGCGATTGCAACGGAGTAGCTTTCGTATTGTGGACTGGTAGCTTGGCGGGGATACGCCCACCGAAGGGAGGTGACAACTCCCGTAAGGTGGAGGTAAGTTGTGCCTCGCGTAGGCCCTATCCTGTCGTAGGGGCTCGCGAGAGGTATAGCTGGCGCACTCGGCCGGAGCGGCCTAAGGAAGCTCCTTTTGTGCGTTCGTGACGAGGTTGGCGGCCGAGAGGGTCCCGCACTGCCACGCGCGGTGCCGGACCGATGCGCTCGACTGGTGGCGCCGTTGTCGGGGATAACGGAAGCCTACCGTTGTCCCTGGTGGAACGACATCCGGGTATAAGAGTAAGCGAGAAACTAGGCATATGAGCGGGAAAAGAGAAGGACTATGAGATCGACTATATGGTGATCGATATGACAATGGGTTGGATGATTGATTGATTGACGGTCTGGCTGACAGCTGAGCGCTGTATGCGGATGAGGAAGTCCTATGGTAAGGATAAGCGTTATCTAGATGAGCAAAAAGGGAGAAGGAGTGTCTGTCAGGTCTAGAGTGTGGGGTGTCTAAAGCGGTTAACCCGATAGGGTCATGAAAGGTTGAGTCACTGTGTGGGGTCCTTTGTCCCATTGTCTCTTATAACAGGGAGATTGGAGTTGAAGGCGGTTGGCCAAGATGCCAGAAGAGATGGCGGACTGTGGGAAGAAACTTGTGACTCTCGATGACCTCATTGATGCCCTGGACAAGCGCGAGAGGGCACCGAGCAATGTCCCGAAGGTCGAGACATTTCACTTCAAAGGGGATCGGTTATCTGATTGGTTGGATCTGACAGAGCAGGCGCTGGTGGGACTGTCAGATGAGGTCAAGCTCCATCGGGTCCTGAAGTATGTCTTGCACAGTCACCATGGGGAAGTAACTAAGGTTGTGGACGCCGTCGGTGGCAGTTAGGCAAAGTTTGGAGACCTAATGCGAAGGAAGTATAGGCTGGGGGACGACCTGTTGACCATGGCCGACTTGGAGGCCATGAACAAGGAAGACTTCTCTACCATTGGGGCGTTTGTGCACGAGTTCATGAAAAGGGCGAGGAAAGTGCACGGGATTTCTGAGGAGGCATAGTGCGCCACATTTTTGGGGCTGCTTCTAGGCTCGGAGGCCACAAAGCTGACGAAGTATGGGGAAGGAAGCGAGAGGCTCACCTGGGCAACCATTGACAAGGGAGTGGAAGAAGGGAGCCTGGACCAGGTGGACCAGCACCAAATGAGGCTGCAAAGGCGCAAGAGGAAGGAGAGGGATGCTACTGCATCCGGGACCCCAGGGGTGAAGAGAATAGTCACGGACGTGTTGGCGGCACTGGGGTATGATAGCGAAGCAGAACTACAGAAAAGAGTGGTGGCAGTGGCCCAAGGCCGGGCGTCAGGAGTAGGAGATGAGGAGGCAGGGCGAAAAGACTACGGCGGAGGGGAGACGGGCTCCCAAGCCCTGACTAAGGCCCAGAGGAAGCAGCGTAATCTGCTACTGGGGGGACAGGGATCAGGGAAAGGGCAGGCTCCCCAAGCCCTTGCTGCACCACCACCTGTCGCCGCGGCCGCCCCAGCACCCGCGCCAGCCGGATCATCGCACATGGGGCCGCCGCCATCTTGTGGACACTGGGTGCCGCATTGCCAATCTACGCCCTGACCCAGTTGTAACCACTGCGTCTCGTGTGGAGGGAGTCAGGCCCACGCGGGACACATGGTCCCCTATTCAGGCCCATCTGCAAGTATGGGCCCCCCGAGCTACCCGGCGACTCAAAGCCAGCCCGTGGCTCAACCGCCGCCCTCCCAGTAGGCCTCGCAAGCTAGTGTGGCCGGGGGAGGAGGCCAAGGACAAGGCGGGCAGGGTAATGGGGGCCGGGGCCAAGGAGGTAGAGGAGGGGGCAGCCGGGGGCGAGGAGGAAATGGTGGAGGTCGTGGAGGAGGCTGGAATGGTCAAGGGGGTCAGAACCAAGGTGGCCAAGGCAGCCAGGGAGGGGGCCAAGGGTACGGAAGACCCCGCTTCGACTGGCGGAACGCAACTTGTTGGCATTGTGGCGAGGTGGGCCACACTGTACAATTCTGCCAACAGCGGCGGGACGACGAAAAGGCAGGATTAATCTCCACCTGTATGGACGAGGATATATACGACCGGTGGGGAATGCACATTGACCCCAAGACCCCGGGAGGAATCAGGCAGGAAGCCCTCAGGCGGGCAGCGGCCGGGCCTCCAGCAGCCCCAACAATGTTTAGGATATGGCAGGAAAGGCAAGACCCCGGCGTAAGAGTCGAGGAGATTGTGGATGAAAATGAGGAAGTAACTCAGCGGTTGAAGGCGGGGACTATAAAGGAGGAGCCCATAGTTGTTGAGTCTCACGATGAGGCGCAGGAAGTGGTGAGAGAGTCAGCCTCGACCATCCTGGAGAGGATGGAGGACCTGCTTGCAAAGGTCGGCAGGTATCAGGATCGTTTAAGGGCAATGTGTGAAAAGGCCCGGGAATGGGAAATGAGCCTTCCTGAGGTGATGCTCTATGGGTCCGGTCCGGAGTCGTCGTCAGGACCACAAGGATGTCCAAGCGAGGCGACGGTCGGGGCAGGTCCTAGGTTAGGGATGACCTTCAGACCCCCTACGTCGCATGGAAGGGTACCTCAGGCCGCGCAGATTAGGGGCCAAAGTAAGGCCACCACCAGTCAAGGGCCTAGCCAAGCACCCAGTCGGGCGCCCCCTCGAAAGGACCCTGAGCCCGAACGAAGAAAGGAAGTGGTAGAAGTTCAAGAAGAGGAAGATGAGGGTGATGACGAAGAGGACGAGAGGCTCCGGCAGGAGGAGGACCGGAGGGCGGAACAGAGGGCCAAGAAGAGGGGGGCTCAGGGAGGGGTGGAGCCGAGTCTGCATGATGGCGTGCCAAAAAGGAAGAAGTACGCAGTCCGGCTGGAGGAAGACTTTGACGTGGAGCGAATGGTGGATAAGCTCCAGGATGGCCATAACGATCTGATGAACTTAAAGGACATTTTGGCCTCAGCACCAAGGCTCCGGGGCGAGCTGAAAGGGCGGCTCTCGCGAAGGTTAGTGCCCAATGTCCACCTGAGCTCAATTCTGCCCAGGGAGATAGAGTGGACAGAGGCGGGCACTAGGATGGATTGGAAATGTGTGGTGGACTTGAAGGTGAGGGACCAGCCAAGCATTGCAATGGTGGACACAGGCGCGAAAATGAATATCATCCGGGAGAGGGACGCGACGATGTTAGGGTTAGAAGTTGACCATTCGGACCATGGTGTGCTGCACGGCGCCAACTACAAGGCCATTTTCTGCGGCACAGCGTCTAATGTGATGGTGGAGATTGGGAGAGTAAGGGCGCGAATGTGCTTCTTCGCCATACCCGACGTCGACCACCCTATTCTTCTGGGGAGGTCGTTCCTCTGCCGGACGGAGACCTTCGTCTTCAACAGGCATGAGGGGACGATGATCCTGACTCTATCTGATCCGGCTTGCAGAAACTACGAAATCATAAAGTGTCGGAACACAAGGCCCGGAAGTGCGAGGAATAGGCTCAACCTCGGCTCCTTTACCTTCGAGGAGTCGGAGTACGCGTGGCGGGGACTCCGGGAGGAACAAGAGGGGGAAGGAGCAGGCGAGGTGCTGTCCCTGGGCCTTAACGATGTGAATAAGGCAATGGAGGTGGTGAAGGCGCACGATATGGCGGACCCGGAAGCCATAAAGGCATTGAGGGAACAGGTCCTGGAAAGCCCTCAAGTGGGAGAAGTGGAGCTGGTCTATCGGCTTCCCGGGAGGAGAGGGGACCCTGCGATGGCCCTGGCCTAAACAACAAGTCAGTTTTTTTAAGGGGAGGGCTTAAGAAGGGCTCCCAAAGGCGGTACAAGACCATAGACAAGAAGTGCCGCCCAGTCCCCGTGCTTGTCACGGAGGATGAGGAAGCCTACTATGGGCGAGAGCGGGGGCTGATAAGGCGTATGCGGGAGCGCGCACAGGCAAGGCCGGGCCGCATCAATAAGGAGAATGAGAAAGGGTTGATAATTGGCGAGTCTGGCTTCCTGTCGCCCCAGGAGAGGACCTTGATGGTGGAGACCATGAGAAGGAGGCATTGCGCGTATGCGTTTAATGATGACGAGCGTGGGAGGTTGGACGTGGATAAGATCCCGATGATACGAATCCATACCGTCCCACACGAGCCGTGGAACCTGAGGGGCGCGTGATACCCGAATCCGGATGAGGAGAAGAAGGTGGTGGATTACTTGGATGGGAAGATGAGTACGTATGTGGCAGATTACTCCAGTGGACCGTATGCTTCCCCTTGGTTTTGTTTTATCAAGCCGAACGGAACGCTGCGGTGGGTGCAGGATCTGCAACGAATGAATGCAGTGACGGTGCGGGACGCGGGAGGGTTGCCGAATGCGGACGCCCTGTCAGAATCATGCGCAAGAAGGTCTATAATCTCACTTATAAACCTTTACTCTGGGTATGACCAGTTTCTTGTGTACCCACCGGATAGGTCGGTGACGGCGATGCATACGCCAAGGGGGCTATTCCACATGAACGTGGCGCCTCAGGGGTGGACTAATGCGGTGGCGATGGTGCAAGGGCACATGATTAGGGTCATGCAGACGGTTAGTCCACATATCACTCAGCCCTACATTGACGATTTGGCGGTCAAGGGTCCAAAGGAGAAGGAGGAAGATGAAGTGATGCCAGGAGTAAGGCGGTTCGTATGGAAGCACGTCCAGGATATCGATAAGGTTCTGGGTCTGCTGGAAGAACACAACCTGACGGCAAGCGGCCCCAAGTCGAAACATTGTATGAGGGAGGCCACGATTCTGGGCTTTGTCTGTAACAAGAGGGGGCGGAGGCCAGACGTGAAGAAAATGGATAAGATCGTAGAGTGGTCAGTCCCCTTCCAGTCGATAACGAACGTGAGGAGCTTCCTTGGGACCTGCGGGTTTTGGAGGATTTTTGTGAAGGACTTCGCCACCAAGTCAGAGCATTTGAGGAAGCTGGTGCGTCAGGATCAGGAGTGGGTCTGGGGCGAAGACCAGAAAAGGGTTGTGGAAAGGATGAAGAGAGAATTCAAGGAAGGAGGTTTGGTGTCAGGAGCGCCAAACTATGAGGCCATAGAGGAAAAGCCATTCATTGTCGAGACGGACTCTGGGCCAACTGCCTTAGGAGGAGTCCTGATTCAGGCGGATGCGGATGGGAAGGAGAGGCCGTTAAGGTTTGAAAGTCGCACCCTCAATACGACTGAGAGGAACTACTCCCAGTTTAAGAAGGAGACGTTGGCGGTACTCCACTGCCTAAGGACCTTCCAGAACTATATCTTTGGCAGGAGGCTCATTTTGAGGGTGGACCCTACCGCGCTGGCGTGTTCCCTGAAAAGTTATACTCCATCTGACCCAATCATCGTGAGGTGGTTGACTTACATTTGGATGTTTAACTTTGAGTTGGAGAGGATTCCCGGGGACAAGAACAGGGCAGATGGGCTGAGCCGCATCAACTGGGATGGGGCGGGCAAAGAGTCGATTGAGGATACCCCGCCAGTTGACGGGATCCTGGATCAGGAAGAGGATGTCCGCCTCCACATAAATGAATGGTCGCTGAGGGTGCCTAGCTGCGTCACACATCCTATATGGCTAGCACCAAGGGGGTACGAGCAGAAGGAGGAATTGGTCCTCAAACCTTTCCAGGAGGAAGATCCGTGGGGGAGTAGGGATGTTGGCTGGATGATGAGGTTGGCATTCGCAGGGACACATGGTCTAGTGGAGGCGGTAAGGACGATATGGAAGGCCCAACCCAGGTAGAGGAGCATGAGCAGCTAATGGGAGGAATGTACTTGCTCACCAACACGCTCCTGCAGGGGAACTTTGGCCAGAGGAGCGCAGCTAGCTCCGAAGAGGGCGAACTTCTCATTCCTGAGAGCCAGGACGACGAGTTCGAAGAGGGAGAGATTAGGGAGGCCTTCCGTGCCGAGGAGTATGACGGAATTTATCGGGAGTTGGGGTTACTCCTGTCGTGCGAAATGAGGGATAGCGACGCAAGTGCTAAGGCCCAGAAGATGAGGCATCTCTACGTAGTGAGAGATGGTCATTTGTTTATAAAGCGACTGGTTGGGAACCCCAGGAGGATCGTATGCGGGAGGAACCGGCAGATCGATGTCATAGCAGCCTTACACGATGGTATAGCAGGGGGGCACAGAGGGGTTAGTGCCACGTGCGCAAAGATAAGTGAGTTATACCATTGGGATGGAATGCTGACAATGGTCATCAAGTACTGCCAGTCCTGTGTACCCTGCCAACAGAGGTCAGCGCAAAGGCCGGGGGAACCTCTGCACCCCAGACTGGAAAGGGAAGTGGGTGCAGTCGTACACCTGGACCTATTGTTCATGCCACTTGGGGAGGACGGAAGTAACTATATCTTCGACGCACGGGACAACCTTACCGGGTTCGTGGACGGTCGGGCTATTCGTACGAAAACCGGCCCAGTTTAAGCAAGGTGCATCGAAGAGTACTACTTGCGCTATCCATTTGTCAGAGAGTTTGTGATGGACCGGGGGTTGGAGTTTACGTGTAACGAGGTGCGGACCTTGCTTGCAGGATACGGCGTGGTGGCAAACTACACTACTGCCGCGCACCCCCTGGCAAACGCGCCTGTGGAAAGGGGGCATAGTACCATCACGAATCTCCTGGCCAAATGGACTGAGGGAAAGCCTAACCAATGGCCGAAATTCCTGAGAGCAGCATTCTTCGTGGAAAATGTTACAGTGAAAAGGACTACCAAGTATGCGCCAGCCACACTATGGTATGGAAGACATGCCACCTTTCCCATAGAAAGCTTTATGAAAACGTGGAGGCACCTGGACCTGGAAGTGGACCTGTCCTTTGAAGAGCTGCTCGATATACGGGCGCGGCAGGTGGGGGCCGCTGAGGAAAGGTTACGAGAGGCCGCTGGTCAGGTGGAGAGAAGTCGCATGGAAGACAAGATGAGGTGGGACCGGGTGGCCCGAATAAGGATCCACTAAAGGTTGGGGATGTGGTGCTGTTGTATGACTCCTCGCTGGAAAAGTAGTGGTCCTGGAAGCTCGACAAACGGTGGCTGGGACCCTATAGGATCGTGCGGTGTGGCGAATTTGGGGCCTACCAAATTGAGGAGTTGGATGGGGCAGGATGGCAGGACTGGGTATCATGGACAAGGCTGAAGAAGTTTGTGGCCAGGGAATAGGTAAGGGCCATGAGACCTCGTTAGGGATAGAGTCTTGCCTAGGTATTACCCAGGTCGGATGGTTAGATAGGTGGATGATTGGGATGGATGGGTGTGGAGTGTATGTGGGATTTCCCTAGGCCGATGGCTCGGTTGCTGACCCTGTTGTGTGCCTGCTTGTTGTCTCTCGCCTGTTGTGCAGGTCTGACTTTTCGAAGGCAGTCATGCAGAGGGGCGGGAGGGACACACGGCCATGCCAGGGGCCCCAGAGGATGGAGGGAAGAGGCGAGCAGCATAAGCCGCCTAGGAGGGAGCCTACGCCTGAGTTTGATGATGACAACATTGAGCTCTTCTTGGACGTATATCGGGATCATGCGGCACAAAGAGGGTGGTCAGTGGCGGAGAGGATTCACCACTTGAGGGGTATAGGGCGGTTCGAGGAGTCTGTCGCTCAGATATGTGAGGAGGCCCTGACTTGGCCGGACGTGGAAGCCGGGATGCAGAGGTTGAGAGCTTCCCCTAGGGGGCGTGATGGCATGCCCATTCGATTGGAGGAGGGGAATGCAGATGAGTTCATCCCCGCATATGAGCACTACATGTTGAGTCTGGGGGTTGCGCGGGAGGAATGGGTGCAGGCTATACTCATCTGGACGAGGCAGGCAGAGAGGCAGGTGGCCAAGCAGATTCAAAAAAGGGCTCGAGACTGGGAGGACTGTCAGGCCCAGCTCAGGAGGGCGTTCGGACGGCCACAGCATGAGAGGCACGAGCCCAGAGTTGAGAGGCGGTGGCGAAGCAAGAGGCCAAGGGAACCGGCACCGAGAGAGGCGGGGCTGGCCAAAGAGAGGAGGGGAGCCCCAGCCCAGCGGGAGGATGAGCCCGCAGGGCCCGCATTGGCAGAGGAGTCGTTCCCTGCTTGTGGCCTCCGAGCGGTTGAGTTTCGGCGGATTACGAGCGAGGAGTTGAGGCCGCCCTCACCACTGCCATCAACGCAGGAGCTGGACATACCAAGAGAGATGCCATTCCGAAGCTTAGCGACTCATCTCGGTGTATCCCGATGGGAGGCCTCACGGATGGGAGAGGGTTCAGTTGAGCCGGCATGCTACGTGCCATTGGAGGAGCCCCTCGACCCCGAGATGGAGACAGACATGCGAGACCGAGAGGAGCCGCAGGATCCTGAAATGGCAGCCGAGCGGCCGGATCCGGTGCGACCTCAGGGTAGAGAGGTGATCACGGTTGGGGACGATACCCCTCCATGCTCCCCAGCTCCAGAGCCAGCACAACGTTCATGGCCAGAGGGAATTCCTGAGCCAGGCAGTGAGGAGATCCCGGAGTTTCCCCCTGAGGCCACCACTATACCTGAGCAGGAGGCAGAGGCGGAGGACCAAGGTGTGTGTGAGAGAGAGAGGATGGAGGCGCCCCTTGACTTGCCCTTGGCCACGCAGGTGACCAAGAGCCCGCATATCGAGGAGCCCGTTTCAGCAGAGTTACCGCCAGTAGTGTCGCGCGCGAGCAAAGGGATGGAGGCGGAGGCATTGACTCCAGGAGGCCAGGGGCCGTGAGTGGAAGGAACCCCAAGAGAGACTCGCGAAGAGAAGTCCGCCCGAGTGCGGGTCCGTCTGGACGAGATATATGCAAGACATGCTGAGATGGAGGCGGCAGGGATAGAGCCGACACCGCCGGTCGAGCCCAAGACAAGTGAGCAGAGGATCGACGAGTTGTGGGCTAGGTATGAGAGCCAGAGGGATGCAGCCCGCCAGAGGTCACGAGAGGCAGGACGGGCGGACGAGGAGACGAGTGAGTTGAGAGAGATGGGGGACTTGGGGTTCTCCGCGACCAGGCAGGCGATTGAGCGCATGGATCAGAGGCTATGCGAGACGGCAGTCACATCTTTCCAGTGGTATAATCTACTCAGAAATGAGCTCAGGGTCAAAGAGTTGGAGGTGGAGCACCTGACTACTCAGCTTGCCGAGGAGAGGGCGAGAAGCCAGGCTAGAGAGGTTGAGTGGGAGAGGAGATTTGAGGAGATGGCGGCCGCTGTGGATAGGCTCTCAGCAGCCTGGGAGGCTAGCCAGGTGGGGCGAGCCGGTGCCGATGGCCAGGGCTGGGGAATGCGCGCCTCGCCGAGCCAAGGAGCAGCAGTGGAGGTCCCCCGACAGAGTGAGCCGATGGAGGAGGTGCCCTTGGACGCAATTGAGGAGGAAGGTGGTGCGCAAGAGTCGCTTATGGCTATGTCCACGGAGAGGAGAGGTTCGCGCTTGCATGAGCTGGCGGCAGCCATGGGGATAGGCACTCCACAGGAGAGGTCTCAGAGGCTCGACACTCCAGAGGATGCTCCGAGATTGGGAAAGTTGAGGACGGAGCTGGGTTCCTGGGCCACGGAGACGGACTCCGGGGAGCCTGGCTCGCGGCGACAACAGCAGCAGGAGGTCATGAGTGAGCCCACTGCTATAGGGGGCCCTCAGCCGTCAGGGGTATGCAGGGATGAGGCGGTGCTGACAGAGAGGGCTCATGAGGAGGGACCCCGAGAGTTGGGCACGCCGGGCTGCAGGCCAGTGAGCACGGCCATACGAGAGGGTGGGGGTGTTGAGGCTATGGAGCATGGACCTCAGGGCCATGTGGGGTTGCCCTCGTGTCATGAGGTGACCACTGAGACCATGGGGATGCCTTCGACATCGAGTTCGCAGGGGAGAAAGAAGAAGACTGGCAGATGGCACGATGCCTCCTGTTTGTGGTGCAAGGAGGAAGGGCATAGAGCCGTGGACTGCCCAAAACTCCTCGAAGATAAGGCCGAGGGGCGAGTTGCGGAGTTCAACGACAAGTTCTATGACAGGCAGGGCAGGATAGTAGAGCGAGCTCCAGATGGGGGTAGGGCTCAGTTATATAGGCAGAACCAGGTGGAATTATGTAAGTAGAGATTGGTCTGTCTATATATTGATAGGACAAGAGATCCTTGACACACACGGGGCGGGGTTAGGGGTATACATACCTTGAGTCAGTTGAGTGGGCCCTAGATGTGTGTGTGCGTAGGAGTGGGAGGAGGAGTTTCTATCCAATTGTACATATGCGTGTGACTATTGTTCGCTTGTTCCTTCTTGAGCTTCTTCGTGGGCTACGACCCAGGGGTAGAACTCAGCTGTATGATATATGAGACCATTTAGTTACATTTGGTTTTGTGATTCAGAAGCTATTGCTGCTCTGAATGGGATTTGGAAGTTTATAGCACTCGGGGTGTGAATTTTCCCAGCAGGGGAGGACAGGGGCTATGTATTCTGTGGATGATTAGGCGGATGCTATGTTCCCGAGTGTATTTGATGAGTGTACAGTGGGGTTATGAGTCATATTCAGACAGGCGGGGTATTGAGTTAAGTGCTTGTATTCGATTGTTGGTTGAGGCATTCTACTCCCTGAGTATACTATGAGTTGAGATTCTATGGGACTTGTCTTGTGACGATCACTATCACTCTCACATGTGTGGATTTATTTCGATAAATGTTTGGCTTTGTGTGAGAAATGTACGGGATACATCTCATGGGCATGATTGTGTAAATTGTAAAGTTGTCTACCCTCCGGTATACTCGTGCGGTCTGCTGCAAGCGGACGAGAGGGCAGAGTATAAGGAGGGGAAGTTCAGCCTGTTTGTGAAAACTGTGAGAATCCTACGAGATTGATGGATTTAGGAATTTGCATGTTTAGTCATACTAAACATCGTTGCCTAAATCGTATAGGGACCCAGAAGGTGGCCCCTCAGTTTGAGGTGTTTGATGATTAAGACCCCCTTCATGGTTCTGGAAGGTGGGAATTATATTGCGTGGAGACCCCTTCATGGTTTTGGAAGAGGTCGTGTGAGGAGTCATCCCATACAAGAAGGAGATGGCTAGGAAATCTTTTGTGAAAGACACCCTTTACCAAGTAAGGGTGGGTAAAAATTGAATGGTGTGGAAAGCATTGTCTGTGCTGATAAAGTCTGATGAGAGGGGACCATGTTTGCTTGAAATGTTTGAAAAGGGCAAGAGATGCCTCAGGGTGGGCGATTGCTGGCTCTGATCAAGTCAGGAGCCACGGCCTTGTGGATCCGGCGGGGAGACTGTTTGTGATTGAGCGAAGGATGCCGTGCCTATTATAGGAGGGCCGGTAAATGCCTTCAGACCCCTACGTAGTCCTGCAGTGGCCGTGAATTGTTTGTGATACCCCATTGGGCCACTTGTGTTAATTCTGAGACATATTCGAGGGAATACCAAGCTAACGGTAAAGATTAGTGTCACCTGGGCGCAACCCCTAGTGGACGGCTGCTAGCCGACACAACCTGGCTGCGGGCCCGCAAGGCAAGAGTTTAAGGGGAGTTGCCCGCCCCAGGGAAATTACCTTGCGGGATAAGAGTCGAGTCTTTTGGAAGCCCTGATTGATTGATTATCAGGGACATACCTGCCATTGTATAACCAATGGGAGGATACTGCCGCTAAGGTAACAACGCCGTGGGTCGTACACCTGGCCCGATCATCCAGGCTACGGTGGGCCCAGATGGGGACCTGGCATTTCTGTACTAGACTGCAGAAAAGCCGGAGAGAGGCTACAAACTTATACATGTGTACTTTGTTTGACTGTGAGGAATTTGTTGAAGAAGGCATAGAATGCCTTCATAGGCCCCAGTCGAAGCCCGCGTCCCTAGTTACGGCTCTGCTTATGAGGAAGAGGCTAACTGGGACACCCAACGAGAGGCCGGCGGTTGTCTAGGACGAGGGGAAAGAGAATGGTTTGGGGGCCTTTGGAACTTATGTTGTAGTATTGATGCGTAATACACCGGCGTCTTGGTGTCGGGGCAACGGAGACCCAGGTTGAAACCCTGGCAGCATATAGTTGTGTTGGCACGGTCTGATGGAGGCCTCAACCCTGAAGTCTGTCGGCTAATCGGATTGGTTCTAATCTCGTCGGCATTTGGAATGTGATGGAAATCTATAGCTTTTTGATTTGGCGACGCGACAGGGACGTCGCTTAATATGGTCCGGTAAGTTGTCGGCGCGAATACCCTTACAAGGGTATCCGCCCTGGTTTTTGCAAGTGACAGAAAGGCTCGGTTAGCCTGGATTTTGAGTGCCCGTGCAGGAAAATGTGAAGGTCGTCCGCGCGCGGGCCAAGGTCTGCCTTGTCCTGGTAGGGAGTAGGTGGGCGCGCAATATTTCAGGCGCGCGTGTGATTTTTCTAATTGAATGGGCGGCCGGGGTAGCCGACCGACCTTGACCGTGTTACGGCCTTGGTAAGGGAATGAAAGGTTGCTCTTGATAGGTGTGCGTGACTGAGGGTAGGGCTGGCGCGCAAATAGGCGCATGGGACGGCCACGGCGTGGGGTGGTAGACCGACGTGGACACTTAGGGGGCCGTGGGAACGAATGGGATTGAAGAAGCAGCCATGGTGGTATCTTGGCCCGGAGCGCCTCGCGGCACCACCTTATATGGGAGGCCGCGCCTGCTGGTACCAGGCTTGGGCTTAGCCCTATTGGTTACGACATCGGACTGGTACGTAAGGGACGCAGGGACCGAGGCCAACAGCAGGCGGTAAGGGAGCGGGGGAGCGCAGTGGAAAGGCGTGAGGGGTTGAAGGGCCTGTGGGACCATCCCCCTTTGTCTTTTACAATTTTGAAGGCTGCGGTCTCTGCCCGATTGACCGTGCGCCTTGCGGGGTTTTATATATCTAGTCATGCATAATGTACTTACCTCGAAATTTTGATATTATTATTTATTTTTTCTTCGCCCGTATGTGTGCGTAGAACTGCGGCGGGTACGCCCATGAACTGTTGAAATACAGGCTGGAGATCGAGCCCAGCTGGTTCCGTCGGGGCCCGATCAGGCGCTGGGGGCGTTGTGAGGTGCCTACCGCTGGGAGGAGGGGGATTCGCAAGGCCCCTACGGGAGGGGAGGTTCGACTTGCCCACTTGTTGCAGTCGGATCATATGTCAACCGCCCGAACCTGGCCTCAAAAGGGGGCTGGGTCCACGCGGGGCACTATTAAAGAAAGTCGGCGCTGGGCCTTACTCGGAGTGCGAAAGGAGGGTGAGGGTGCTGCGCCAAGCAGGCATGTGTGAGTCCGGGGATGGATCCGGACGAGAAGGTAGGCCGGGTGCGGATAAAAAAGGGGGGCTCGCCATGCGCAAGGCTCTTCGGGTTATCCGTTAAAATTAGAGCGATGTAGGGAAGATTCGTATGGCCCCTGTGCAAGGCTGGTGCGCACAACTTCTGAAATGCGGGCCAAGTTCGGGCATTAAGGTAGAGCGGCATTGCGGCCTCAATGGTCTCGAGGAGTCAAGGGAGGGGCGGCCACGATCGGAAGCCTTTCAGGATATCCGCAGATTTTTTTGGCACGAGACGGAGAAGATCTGCATGACCGCCCCGCACGGATGGCACATGGAAAAACCGGAGGAGAACCCGGTCGTGAATCTGGCCGGGGGCATTCAAAAGGGCGAGGAGGTTGGGTGGTGTTGGTGGTACTATGGGGGCCACTATGGGTAGGTCCTTCGGGACATCCGTTAAAATTGGAACGATACAGAGAAGATTAGTGCGGCCCCTGCGCAAGGATGACACGCATAGAACAAGGAAAGGGAGGGCGCACCTCCCTGAACCCGGCCAGGAAGGCGGGCCAGGTCCGCGCACTCTGCTGCCAAGGCGGGGTGGTATCAAGGTTGCTCAGGCATCGAAGGGCCGTCACGTGCTGCTGCGGGGGAGTCCTTCGGGGCATCCGCTAATACTGGAACTGACTAGAGGAGGGCCGCGCAGCCACTGCGCGCATGCAATATAGGCATCCGGGGGCGAACCCGGACGCGAATGAATGCCAGGTGCAGGCGGAAGGGAGAGGCAAGTGGCTAGGAGACTCGTCTACCGTGCACATTCAGCGGTGTCCAGACGTGGTGGGAGAGGGGGACCGCCTATGGTCCGACACTACAAATGCAGGGCAGTGTCGACCCGTTCGGTTAGTTGGTCGGTGAGCCGGGCGGGAGCGCTGTCAGGTTAGTTGCGTGCCTTGGCGAGGTGACGGACGCTAGCGGGGTGAGAGTCAGCACGGGGGGCAACCGCGGAGCGAGACTGTGGAGGTCGGAAGGGTAGACACTGGGGGAAACAGGCGACGGGGGCAGGAACGAATCAAGGCGCGGAAACGCGCCGGGTGCATGCGAAGGAAGTGTGACCGTGCATGGCGGGAGGAGATGGTTATGGTGGGAGCAGGAAAACCACTAGATTGCTCGATCCTAGGCGGAATCGGGCAGAGTGAAGGGTTGAGCTAGAGTTTCGGGGTGCTGCGAACTGAGCGGGAGAGTCAGTTTTAACTATAGAGTGTTAGTTTTGGTAGTGGAGGAGAAAGGCCCTGCGCGGTGGTATTGGAACAGGCGGACATGGCGGAAGGGAGAGTAAGCACCCTGCTCGCTCCTTGACGGAATCRAGCGAGGGAGGGGCTGAGATAGAAGTTTTGMAGCAGGCCGATCAYGAATTCGAAGYCGGATTAGKAGGAAAGAYARTAGATTARAAGYTAGTGAGAAAAAKGTGTGCGCAGAAGTATCGGGAAGGCAAGCGGAACGGGGCAATGTACCTACCCAGGTTCTAGAGCAGGATTYATTCGGGTTTTATTCAGCGYGGCGATGAGCAAAGCRTGTAAATGGCCACGGGGCTACAGACTTACCGATATGRMTGGTGTGATGCTCGTYCCGYCGATCRAAGTACCTTCGCCGCCCCCCGGGGCGCACGATGAGTTRTAGCGGTGTATRTTTYCAAATTTTAGTGGATGACTTATTCGGTGTTGCTCAGGGCTCAGTTGTGGCCGGTGCGGAGTGCYATTTGTTGCTCGTTCTCCCGGGGCAATGCGCCAAGCCGTATAACAGCGGAGGGTTCATCTCAGTTCCCGTACCCCCGRAAGACTGTCGGGGTGACCGCGCTCTTGGCGTTTGAGGATCGTGTAACTGTTGCTCGCCTCCCGCAAGGACGCTGATCGGTCCCGAGGTGCTGTCTTGAGTCC